GCAAAAATTCAGACTTTTCGATGGCTACAGATGGCCTGTCTAAAATTTCAACACTGGGGGTGGCAAATGATTTCTCTTCCCATCCACGCCCACTTGAACTATGTATATGCCCCTCTTAAATTTTTAAAAATTTATTTAGCATGTAGTTTTCAAATTTTTTTATATATGCCCTCTAAATTATTAAAAAAATTAATTGCTTTAAGTTTTTCAAAAAAATTTTATATATACCTCCTCATTAATAAGATCTTACACATATCTCCTTAACAAATTTTTTTTTTTCTAATTTATTCTTATTAATTTTTTAAAAAATATGTTTCACTTGAATTTTTATTCTTTTTTAATTTATTTGCTCATGTTGAAGTTATACCTCCTCATTAATAAGATCTTACACATATCTCCTCCTTAACAAATTTTTTTTTTCTAATTTATTCTTATTAATTTTTAAAAAAATATGTTTCACTTAAATTTTTATTCTTTTTTAATTTATTTGCTCATGTTGAAGTAATTTTTTCTTTTTTTAATGTGTCCTTAAATATTTTTTCTATATGTTCTTACAATACTTTAATTCAAGCAAAATAAATAAAGTTTAAAAAAATCAAAATATTAGCATAACCAGTGCAAAAGGGTACAAGAAGGTATTAGGCGGTGTATCCTATATGTATATAAGAGAAGATTAGTAGTTACCTCTTTTTAGTACAAAGAACTATAATAGCTAGTTACCTTCTCAATTAAAAAAAAAATGTAGTTACCTTGTCTCTTTTTTTTCCAGTAAAAAGTCATTTTAAAAAAACTATATTGCATATATTTGCATAAAAATATATATAATATATATATATATATAACATATGTATATCAGAGACAAAACGAGCCATTTTTTCTCATCTTTACCCTGCCACACCTTTTTGTTTTTGCTAATCTCACCCCGCCACACCTTGGAGATTAGATTGTGTCTCTATTCTCGTCCTGAAAGGGGCGGAGCCCCATCCCACAGTGAATATTGGCTTAGTTTGGTTTTATTTTTCCCTCTTAAAATCAGTTTCTGCTTGTAGTAGAAGCTGATTTTAATGTTTGGTAAATCTCTTCAAAAGTGTTTTTTGAAGAATTTTTTAAGAATCTACAGCCAAAATCAGAAGCAGCCTAAAGACAACTTTAGCTTTTTAAAATTTATAACCTTCCCAATTTAAAATTCAGACTCGTAATATAATATAATATAATATAATATTGTAATAAATAATATTATAATTATATTAATAACTCTAATATTATTATTTTATCATATAATATGATATTTTAATAATATAATATTATAATAATAATATGATATTATATTTATAATATGATATTGTAATTATTATTTTATAATATATTATATATTATATTGTATTAATATAATTAAATATTAATATAATCTTATAATTTGAATATTATTATATATTATAGTGTATTACATGTTATGTAATATATTAATTATAATATATTTATTTAATATAATATAATAATGATTATATAATATATTATATTATAATATAATTGTAATTTTTAATTATATTATAACTGTAATATTAATATTTCTTATGTATTATTATAATATGTTTTATAATATTGTAATTATATTAACTATTTTAATAATATTATTATATTCTATATTATAGTCATATAATATGTTATTTAATAATAGTTTTATTGTATTATATTAAATATAATAATAAATATATATTATACTGTAATTATATATATTATAATATAATATAATTGTTATTTTTAATTATTTCAATTATTATTTTAATAATATTACTATATTCGATATCATAATTATATAATAATAGTTTTTTATATTCATTTTTTATCTTATATTAAATATAATAATAAATATATATTATATTGTAATTATATATATTATATTATAATATAATATATAATATAGTCGTAATTTTTAACTATCCATAGCAATTTAACCTCATAATTTACCAAACACTATTACATTGATTTTGGAATCAACACAGCTACTATAATTATAGTTTACCAAACACTTAACTGCTTTTTGTAATAACTGATTCTTCCTTCAACACAGTTAAAAACAATTCTTTTAAAATCTACATCATTACCAAACTAAACCATTATCATATCACAATGGAAGACGTCATACAACTAACCTTCAAAGTTGACGAAACACATGAACAAAATAAACAAAAATTACATAGTAGATGGACCATTTTTCTTTTAAAAAAATATTATAATAAAAATGGCAATGATTGATTTATGAAGCAGATTTATAAGGTATTTTTCCCCTAAAATGCTATTTAGCTCTTTCCTGCGGACCAAAATCCATGAACTAAATGGCGTCTAAAGTCCTTTAAAAAAATAAAAAACTTATCTTTAAGAGTGTATGAATCTAAACCTATATCTCTTATTCTTAATACCTTTTTATTAATGTAATTATTTAATTAAAAAAATTATAAATTAAAAGTAAAAGATAAAAATCCTAACAAATACATTTTTTTTGTCAATATTACCAAAGTCTTTTTAACAATAAAACTAGCTAATAATGAAACTGTAAAACTGCATAAAACATGCTAAACTAGCTAGTGAATTTATAATCTTTAGTAACTTTTTTTCACTAAATTTATAAGTTTACTATTTTTTTATTTTTACATTTTACGGATTCTAAACTTTATTACTTACTAATTGCCGAGTACGGGGCGACATCAATGGCCTAATCATAAATTTTATCGGGATGCGTACATTAAAGATAAAATTTTGAACCAATATAGAAAATAAAAATTATTAAAACATCAAGCGTTCATTTTGTATAAAAATTTAAATCAAAGTGATTCTAATTATAATTTTAAAAATTAAAACTATAAATCTTGATTTTAAAATTATAATTTAGAATCAAAAATTTGAATCACCTTAAATAAAAAAAGTAATTTTAAAATCATAATTTAAACCAATTTAAAACATCACATCAGATTCTAAATCATAATTCAAAATCATTCAAATCAAATACTGATTCAGAATCATAATTCAAAATTATAATTTTAAATTATTATAAACAAACACTAATTCTGAATCAGAATCTAAAATCACGATTCTAAATCTATTATCAAACTCTAATATATCTATCAAACGCACCCCAAAACATTCACAAGTAAACAAGGAATGATGCAAAAATTATTCTTTAAAAACTAAAACCCTGATTCGTGCGTTCAAATAAAGATTCTTAATTTTAACTTTTAAAATTTAAATTTATTGTAAAAAAACATTATAACCAAATTAAAATTATAAATTCATTCGCATACTTTTAACATTCAAATTTATTATTAGAAAAAAAAACATTACAACAAAATTAAAACTACAAATTTATTCACATAACACAGACCCTAAATTTATCAGTCATGAATCAAATTATTCCAAAAATAAAGAAATTAAAAATAATAATAATAACATAGTTGCAAGTGCTTTACGATTCGGATAACCGAAAAAAGAGATCCGGGTGGATTCGAACCACCATCCTCTCAAAGCTTAAAGAAAGCATTGAGCGCTCAGACCATTTATAAGCTTACGGATCTATCTTTCACCCTCGATGAGCGCATTCTAAAAAAGACCGCGCCACCGCCAAAAATACAAACTAAACATTTTTTTCTATCATTCTCAATCTGCAATTATTTTTAGCACAAACTCTAAATGCTCTTTAAATAATAATATATTATATTAATAAAATCTAAAGACTCATTTAAAAAATATACTCAAAACTATAATTTTTAATTTTATCATTTAATATTCACTTTTTTTTTCAAAAAATAAAAGATTTAAATTTTTTAAAAAATTTTCTTTAAAAAAGACTAACAAAATCAATAATTAAATTAAAATCCATAATTTAAATTTAAATTTAAATTTAAATTTAAATATATAAAATAAACATACCCTAAAGAGTTAAAAGAGTGACAAACGTGATCCTATCATTTTTCAAATTACAAATTCAACTCTTGATATTATCGTTTGAAATTCAATTTTTTCACAAAAAAAGATTTAAAATTTAAAAAAAAAACATTATAACAGAATCAAGATAATTTAAATTTAAAACAAACATAGATAAGAGTTACGAACGTTACATTAACACTTTTGAAATTACAAATTCGATTCTTCTATAAAGATATGTAAACAAAATACAGATTTAATTAGTATAAAAATTAGTGAGTAGCCAAAAAAGAAAAGTTCCATTGACAAATCATTATAATGGTCAACAATAAAATGGAAGAACTTAAAAGAAAACTAATAAATCTTTCATTTAAAAAACTAATTTTCACAATAATAAATAAATGAAAATTTTTAAATATTCATCAACTCTATAAAAATCCAAAAAGACATTTAATAGTCGAAAAGAAAGTTAGATTGCTTGAAACAAAACAAAAATTTACCAAATGATCTCATTAAAACATAAATTACTTACCAGTTCAGTTAAATAACAATTTAGTTATAAAGGTAAGAACTCACATAATTAAATATCTCAAATGTACTGCTTTTCGTTTTAAAACTTCAAATTTACAACACCCATAAAACCACCACCATCAAATGGATTCTGTATAATTGATGGAATAAAAAAGAAAACAATTCAACAATACTTTAAAACATTAAAAATATAGATTAAAAGGACGCCTCATTTGAAATTTTTCAAAATCTTAAAAATATTATGGGAAATCAAAATTATCAAATATATAAAAATTAGCAAAAAGGATACTAATTAACGTAAACACCTTGCTATTTAAATTTTGCAGTGTGCAATTGAAAAAACAGAACCCTTGAATAAATCAATCAAACCTCGAACATCGATTTTTTTTTAGAACAAATCAAACATCGATTTCTTAATTCCCTTAACAAAATTTAACTTCAAATTGAAACATCTAATAGACCTTTAATAACAACCAAATAATGTTTGATACCACTTTAAAAATATCATACTGCAGAAAAAGTACCTAAATATATTACGACTACAAGATGCATTAATTCTAACAATTCTGGAACGAACTTTGAATAAATGAACTAAACAGTGATTCTTTGTTGAATAGAACGATAATAATAAAAATAAATACTAAATAATGACATAAATAAGGATAACTAAAAATAATGAATAATAATACTTGAAAGCAAAGAACAATTGGGAACATTGCCCATTCTACTCTTTCATCACCTCTTTGGATCATTTGGTTTTGATACGAACGAACCACCATGAAACTTGACCAAATGCCGACAACGAAGAGTCTTAACAAAAAATACCGACGTTGGGGCAATGCTGTGACCATTGTGACGAGCATTCTTCGCAGCAAAGAAGACAAAACTGTACATTTGTAAACACGACCAGCTACAAACAAGTTCCAACCGACATATACAACCACATGGTTTTCTCTATATTACAGAAAACAAATCTCAAAACATAGGTGGGTCCAGAACATACCAAGGTACATAAGAGCATGAGACAATCGCAAAGTCACTGCTCAACTTTAAGCTCAAGAGAGAAATCTATAAATAAACAACTCTTAATCAATATCATACAAAAACTAGACAAATGCTAGAGAGCGATGCCTTTAAATAAATAATGTTTGTTGGATCACCAGATACATACCAACAGAAACGTTATGGAAGGAATAAATAGATTCAAATAATTCTCAAAATTAAAAAGTGCAAATATATAGTGCTGAAACGGCACAATCAATAGTTAATCGAAGACGATGTGTTTGCGAGTGTAATTTGATATAGGTTATTGTAGTAAGACGATGCTTAAACTGAATTCTGTATAACAAAATCATTACACCATCGTATTTTATACTTGACTTGCATTGCTAATTCTCGTACCCGTTTAATTAAAAACGAGAATACAGATCGAATTATAAGCGACAATAATAATCTCCAAAAGCCGTTTAACAATTGGATATTGCATTACATAACTCGAGACTAGTGATCAAATGATAAAATTCTATTCTTAGAATTGTAAGATTAAGCTAATAACTATATATGATTATCTAACGAATTTAAAACATACATGAATAGAATTGTGATTACTGTAGTCATATGATTATATGAAGCTTAGAATTATATGATAATGATTATACGAAGCGTAGAATATATGATAATTATTATATGAAGCTTTAAGATTATATGATAATTATTATATGAATCTTAGAATTATGACTTGTGAAGAAATTATATATGGCAATTTAATTATATGACTTGTGAATAAATTATATATGAATTGTCTACTCGTTCTAGATGCATATCAAAAGGCACAAATTTGGTAGAGTTTACCTTAGAGGGACGATGTTAGGAGATTCTCTGGATGTACGGCTCATTCGTCTTGATGCACTGCGTTGTGTAAAGTCAAGCGAGGATATAGAGAACAGAACGAGAAAAAAGAAAAAAAGCAGGACACACAAGCACACGCACACACCGAAGGAAAGATCCCGGGCAATCCCCGTGCGATCTCCCTCCAAAACCAAAAAATTTCTTTTTTTTATTAAGATTTTGTGACCTGCCAAGCAAGCGCACCTGTCATGGCAAAGGTCGGATGACAAAGATCGATCGGAACCCAGGCCTCCCTCGGGCCTTCCGTCTCCGATATCTTATACATCCCTCTAAACAACCTTTAACCCCAAAAATCCCTCCCCATATCCCAATAACCTCAACATAATATTGCATCACCATCAAAATATGATACAATGTTTACAAAGAACCACGATCGGCCAAGATTTGTTGATATTCATCAAGATCTGCTTCGATTCCGCCAGATCTGCGGTATAGAACGGCATGAATCGTCTCTCTCGAAGCTTCTTCTCAGATCTATCACGAGCATCAATATCGTCCTATAAAAAAAACCGAAAAATCAGTTAGATCAACTCAAACACATGAAAAAAAATCAAGAAACCACAGATCCGTTTGACAAAATATAAGATCAATCAAGAACTCATGAATCTTTAATCCAAATAGATCGAAACCAAACCCTGATCAGATGCTCATAAGATGAGGAGAGATGCTCGAACTGTAGCCATGGAATACCGGAGATCGAACAGCTTCCAAACGCTTAATTCGCTCGAAACCACCATCGAATTGTAGATCGGGAAAAGATCTACCCAAATTCAACGACGAAAACCAGGAAAAAACATCCATGGCGAACAGATCTTAGAAAGACGGGAAAGCCAGAGAGGAGGAAGGAAGAGAGAAAAAGCAGAGGCGTTGAATGAACGATAGGTTGCGCCTTATCTCTTCTTTTATAGCTGGCTTTGTGAAACGAACGGTTAAGATTTGATGGTCCTGGGGGATTTGACGGCTAGGATTATGTTGATTGTTAGTCCTTGAGGCGGTGGAAGAAACGGGGTCCACGTTGGATATGCCGACTTTGTCAAGGTACGACAGCTGTGATGCTTGGGTAGTTGGGATAAGCACAAACGTGTTTGGTGACACATTTAATTAATTTCTGGCATGGATTTAGGTTGCCCCTGTGCCAGATTTATAAATTTGACTCCCAACTTTTTCTTTTTATTATTGTTATCATTTTCCTTTTCGAAAAATTTGGTTCTAGAGTATTCTATTAATTGTTTTCTGCTTTTCTTACGCTTGGAACCAAACAGATGGAAGCTTTTTAGGTGACCGAAAGCACACGTTATTTCTTATTTGTTATTATAATTCTTTTTTTTTAAGGGAAAGTGAGATGCAATTAATAAGAAAAAGTGATTAATACAATTACGAACTCTCTCTCAACTAACGAAAACGATGGGTGGTTTAGAATTGGTTTAAAATATTTTTATTTTTTTGTACGAAAATAAAAATGAAAGTGTTTTTATTTTTATTTTTGAGTTATTTTTAAAAATGCGTTTGATAATTTTATTTAAAGATTGATTTCAGTTTTAAAAAAAATTGAAAATGCGTTTGGTTTCATTTTTGAAAACATGTAATAGGTATTTAATATATTAAATAAATAATAATTGAATCCTAAATAAAAATACTAATAATTAATAAAATAATTAAGGTTGATTTTCAGTCCCCATTAGGGCTGATAATCAGCCCCCATTGGACGGCTCATTCGTCTTGATGCACTGCGTTGTGTAAAGTCAAGCGAGGATATAGAGAACAGAACGAGAAAAAAGAAAAAAAGCAGGACACACAAGCACACGCACACACCGAAGGAAAGATCCCGGGCAATCCCCGTGCGATCTCCCTCCAAAACCAAAAAATTTCTTTTTTTTATTAAGATTTTGTGACCTGCCAAGCAAGCGCACCTGTCATGGCAAAGGTCGGATGACAAAGATCGATCGGAACCCAGGCCTCCCTCGGGCCTTCCGTCTCCGATATCTTATACATCCCTCTAAACAACCTTTAACCCCAAAAATCCCTCCCCATATCCCAATAACCTCAACATAATATTGCATCACCATCAAAATATGATACAATGTTTACAAAGAACCACGATCGGCCAAGATTTGTTGATATTCATCAAGATCTGCTTCGATTCCGCCAGATCTGCGGTATAGAACGGCATGAATCGTCTCTCTCGAAGCTTCTTCTCAGATCTATCACGAGCATCAATATCGTCCTATAAAAAAAACCGAAAAATCAGTTAGATCAACTCAAACACATGAAAAAAAATCAAGAAACCACAGATCCGTTTGACAAAATATAAGATCAATCAAGAACTCATGAATCTTTAATCCAAATAGATCGAAACCAAACCCTGATCAGATGCTCATAAGATGAGGAGAGATGCTCGAACTGTAGCCATGGAATACCGGAGATCGAACAGCTTCCAAACGCTTAATTCGCTCGAAACCACCATCGAATTGTAGATCGGGAAAAGATCTACCCAAATTCAACGACGAAAACCAGGAAAAAACATCCATGGCGAACAGATCTTAGAAAGACGGGAAAGCCAGAGAGGAGGAAGGAAGAGAGAAAAAGCAGAGGCGTTGAATGAACGATAGGTTGCGCCTTATCTCTTCTTTTATAGCTGGCTTTGTGAAACGAACGGTTAAGATTTGATGGTCCTGGGGGATTTGACGGCTAGGATTATGTTGATTGTTAGTCCTTGAGGCGGTGGAAGAAACGGGGTCCACGTTGGATATGCCGACTTTGTCAAGGTACGACAGCTGTGATGCTTGGGTAGTTGGGATAAGCACAAACGTGTTTGGTGACACATTTAATTAATTTCTGGCATGGATTTAGGTTGCCCCTGTGCCAGATTTATAAATTTGACTCCCAACTTTTTCTTTTTATTATTGTTATCATTTTCCTTTTCGAAAAATTTGGTTCTAGAGTATTCTATTAATTGTTTTCTGCTTTTCTTACGCTTGGAACCAAACAGATGGAAGCTTTTTAGGTGACCGAAAGCACACGTTATTTCTTATTTGTTATTATAATTCTTTTTTTTTAAGGGAAAGTGAGATGCAATTAATAAGAAAAAGTGATTAATACAATTACGAACTCTCTCTCAACTAACGAAAACGATGGGTGGTTTAGAATTGGTTTAAAATATTTTTATTTTTTTGTACGAAAATAAAAATGAAAGTGTTTTTATTTTTATTTTTGAGTTATTTTTAAAAATGCGTTTGATAATTTTATTTAAAGATTGATTTCAGTTTTAAAAAAAATTGAAAATGCGTTTGGTTTCATTTTTGAAAACATGTAATAGGTATTTAATATATTAAATAAATAATAATTGAATCCTAAATAAAAATACTAATAATTAATAAAATAATTAAGGTTGATTTTCAGTCCCCATTAGGGCTGATAATCAGCCCCCATTGGGGGTGATGGGGGCTGATTCTCAGCCCCCATTAGGGGCCTCCCAGGCCAGCCCCAAAGGGAGGCCCCCAGGGGTTGATTCAGCCCCAACGGGGGCTGATAATCAGCCCCCATTGGGGCTGATGGGGGCTGATTTTCAGCCCCCATTAGGGGCCTCCCAGGGCAGCCCCAAAGGGAGGCCCCCAGGGGCTTATTCAGCCCCAACGGGGGGGCCTCCCAGGGGCTGATACAGCCCCAATGGGAGGCCCCCAGGGGTTGTATCAGCCCCAACGGGGGCCTCCAGGGGAAAAAGAAAAAAAAAACAGAAAAAAAACCAGATCTGATCAAGCATAGGATAGAAAAATAAACACCAAATCAAACGGAAAACAGCAACCGATTTGGTTGAATATAGAAAATCAAACGGCGAGACAACGGAAAATAAAAATAAAAAAATAAAAAAACAAATTGCTCAACCAAATCGATCAGAAAATCAAACACGTTCAAACATTTTTGGCTAGGGGCATACCTCGGTGAGAAAACGGAGAACGGCGCAGATTGGACAACAAGAGACCGGAGGAGCTCAGGCGAACAGAGGTTCTCCGGTGAGAAGCAAACGGCGTGACTCTTGGGCGAGAAGAACGCCGGGGCTCGGCCGGGAAGAAGAGCTCGGCTGAAGAAGGGAAGGGAAGAAGGAAGAAGAGCTCGGCTGAAGGGGAAGAAAAAATCGAAGAAGGAGAAACGGGGGAGGACGATCGAGGAAGAAAGAAGGAAACCAAAAATGAAAACAAGAAAATGAAAACGGATTTTTTCCATTTTCAAAATTCCGGAAAACGACAAAAACATTTTTATTTTTGTTTTCTGACACAAACTTCGCCAAACACGTTTTTTGGCTCCGTTTTCAATTTTTTGCTTCGAAAAATGTGAGAAATGAAAACGGAAATGCTAACAAACAGGCCCGATAGTTTAGTTAAAACAAGCAATAAAATTGATAATAAATTAAAAAAAATAAAAAATAAGATTACTGTAAGTATTTTCTAAAAATAAAACAAAAACTCACATTCTTTTAAAAACAAAAAAACAAAAGTGTGCTTTAAAAAGTGATTCAAAACGAAAAATAAGCTACAAAATAGTTTTAATATTTTCCATCTATATAATAAAATGACTAATTTTAACATTCTTCATCTTCAGTTTAGAAATGAAATTTGATACAACTTTTTATATTTAATATAAAGCATGTAATTAACACTAACACATTGTTTAAATTGCAAAGTAAATTTAATACAGCTCTCAACAAATGAACTTTAATAATGAACTGTTACAAGAGAGAAGAAAATTTTAGGTATTTTATATAAATTGAACTCAATATCTTGACTTTGCCCACAGATACCTTTCCTTTTATACTAATTGGTTATTTTAATTTTTCTTAATATAAGAGTTTAAGATCACGTGCTATGCACGTCAAGAGTAATTTGTGTATTAAGTTCTAATTATTGTATTATTATTAAAAGCATATAACATTTGAATATAAAGTCCCAAAAAGAAACTTAAATTTGAAAAAAATAAAATAAAATTTTACGGTAAGTAGTAAAAAAAAAAAGATAAAAAAGGAGTAAAATAAATCTATAAATAAGTTTCAAAACAAAAGAAACTAAAATGAATAAATAAAGTTTTAGAGGAAATATATAAAGAAGGGTAGAAAAAGGATCAAAATGAGAAAATAAATAAGTTTTAGGGCAAAATAAATTATAATGAAATAAATATAAAATTTCAGGACAAAAAAGATAAAAATGACTAAAATAAAGGAATAAATAAGTTCTAAGGCATTATTGGAAAGCAACTAAAAGAAAAAATAAAATAAAGCTTCAAGATAGAAATAAAAAAGAACGGGTAAAAAGGACTAAAATGAAAAATAAATAAACTTCAGTAAAGACCAAGGGGCTGTTCGGATGCTGCTTTTTTGAGTTAAAAACTCAAAAAAGTAACTCGAGTTATAACTTTGATCAAATTCATGTTCTTTTAAGTTTGAACTCGAGTTTGGGACTAAAACTCGAGTTCGAGTGTTTCCCCTTCAACTCGAACTCAAATTAATGAACATTATTTTTCTATTCTTAAAAATGCTATAACTTTTTAGTTTTAATTCTGATTGAGATGATTTTTTTATGCGTTGACAACGAAAAGACGAATAAAACCCCACCCATATACCCTATTAAAATTTTTCATCAGCATTGAGTTTTTATTAAAATACTATCTAAATACAAATTCAAGTTTTGACTCACTCAAACACAAACTCAAAAAGATTCTTATCTCAAACCATAACTCAAATGTACACAACCAAACACAAACTCAAGTTACAACTTCAACTCAAGTTATAACTCAAACTCAACTCAAAATTTACACTCAAGTCACCTAACTCAAAAGGGCAAAAGAACAGCCCCCAAAAGAATCTAAACAAATGAAGTACAAAAGCAAAGTACAGAGAAATGTATGGAAAGAGAAGAGAAAACCTACGGCAAAAAAAAAAAAAAAAAAAAGCTCAAACTTGCAATTGCCCAAAAGTAGACAAAAATCGAAACTAAAACCACGAATGAAGTGAGCGTAGAGGCCAGTGCTAAAACTTTAGACGGGCCGCCCGCGACCTCCAAAAAGTCTAAATTTTTGCCCGAATACCGAACCCGAACAACTCAAAAATTTAGGCTACCCGACCCGAACCCGAATTTCACCTTGCACGGGCTTCGGCCAGCCTTTGGCTGCCCGTGCCTGGTCGGGCTGCCCGTTGCCCGACCGCCTGCTCAAATTTTCAAATATTTTTTATATTATATTTTTATATTGTATAATGTATATATATTATATATATTACAATTTGAAATTTGAAATAAACACACGAACTATATAAAAAAATTATTTCTTTATTAATTTTTAAATTTGTAATTCATGATTGCCTCATTAAAAACCTTACCAAGAAAAATCTAATTGAGATAAAAACTTGGTAAGAAAAAAAGAGTACAATCATTGTGGGACGAATTACAAATTTGACGAACTTACAAAGTCTATACAAGATTACAATAACACTATACAAATTAGAAATTACAAAGTAAATAAATATTTACAAATTACAATAATAAAATTTAATTTGAAGCAGAATGATCGTCTTGAAAATTAAAAGCTAATCTATTAAACTCGTCGATCCATTCTTGGCATGCCGGTGAGATTGTATCGTGTAAGCGTTGGTCTGAACGATCCCAATCCTTGATGCACACCAAAGCTTCAACAATATCCTGTTGCAATGCGTTTCTTCGTTCTTCAAGTATTCAGCTGGTTGTACTGAATGCTTATTCGGCTGCAACAGTGAAGACCGAGATCGAAAAAATATCCATTGCCAGTCGTGTTAGGATCGGCCAAGTTAATACTCGTGCCCTCCACCAATGAACCAAATCAAACATTTCACTATTGTCTACAACTAAGTCCACACTCAGGTACGCCATTAACTCGTTGAATCCGCCATTGTTGCCGCCACCTCTTGATGAAAATTCACTCCCAGATTCTTCTTGACCTTGAGTCGTCGTCTTCTTCTTCTTCTTAGACAACCCGAAAACATTCAAGAATGAATGCGGATTGTCGTCTCGTTGTTGCAGTTGTTCAACACGATGTGTGTTTCTAAACCTACTTTCGTAAGAGATATAGAGAGAAAATATTTTTTCCTTTATAATAGGAAATTAGTCAGTAGTGTCGATAGCTAAAAATTCACCTAAGTTATCTAATCCACTTTCTAAACCTTATAATTTTAATCTAGGGTAAAAAAATAACACCGAAACCATACAATATTGGTAATTTAGACCAATATTTCTTAAATTTCTTTTCCATAGAGGCGGTAGGTACTCCTAAAACCTCGTGTGTCGTAAATTCACTAAATAAAATAGACATTCTTAAAAGTTCTCCTAACGCTAATGGTGACGTTGGGTAATAAGTTCCACTAAGTTTTAAGGTAACTTCGTGAAATCTACCTAAAATGTTATACAAGAGTTCGGCAACTTGTCAATCAGTTTCATCTATAAATCCTGGTCCTAATTTTACACTAACATAATTTGTTATAGCATCTTTATAGGGGATATATTGTTCAAGTATTATATAAGTAGAGTTCCATCTTATGGGTATATTTAAGGCTAATGCTCTAGGAT